GGGATTATCCTGGTCTCACTGGCTTCTACAAGACACTGTAGCGGAGAGGTAGTATAATCCACAGTATCTCCGCTGGTAGACAGGAACAGCATGTAATAATCCAGGTAGGCAGGTACAGTATACAATAATCCTGGTAGTGTTATAAGAATCCTTCCTTCCCAAGAACTAGACGACACATAGGCTGGGAGTCAACTGAGGTTTTCTTCACAGATCACAGTATTTATGTGGTTCCCCATGCAAGGGGTCTCCTGAGTGACTTTACAGGGTTTGTACAGTAGGGTACTACATGGGGAACTGAACATACAGGACAATTTTCCCACCATGCACTGCTGTACGATAGGGATACTCCCATAAGAATATCCTGTTAAGTGGATTATCCCTCTGTACAGCAGAACCGGTCCTTTTACTTAAAAATGCATAACTTGCACGTTATTCGTGCTTTTTAACTGAATGACATCTATATGGATAGCTGGGACCTGAGCGCATACTTCGGGAAACTACCGCTCAGATCCCAGCACAATTAGCTGAATGCCACACGAAACATAGTTGAATCGGAACACACAAGAAAACACACGAATGAACAGTTTGTATAAAACTACTGAAGGACCGGTGGTCCCGAATGGTCTGGAAGTCCAGCGGTGTTCGTGTCGTCGAGTAGCCGATTTTAGTTCCAGGCACACGACGACCAAACAGCACTGGGCTAAAAGGGGATCCAAGATGGCCGCCGCCTCGTGGTCGGTATCCGAACGGTGACCACCCTGCGAATCAATTAACCGAGGATAGATACACTGTTGCAATCTGTTAATGGGAGCCACACGACCCCCTGTGTGTGGTCTCCCATTTGGTACTTTGTTCGTTCCACGAACAGTGTTGAAAGTCACTGTTCATGAAACTACCATAGGAATGCTAGCGGCTTTAGCGCCACTAGCATACGAATGCCCTCTATCACATATTTAAGCGAACAACCTAAAATAAGCCATATATCAAACAGTCTCTCCAGGCTAGGTTTGCCACAGACACCAACGAGACTCTCTGTTGCTGTACCTGCTAGAGCCTGGACACAGCTCCCGCGCACAAGATGGTCCTGAAAATATACAGCCTGGGCTGGAACATCTTGACCATGGTGCACACTCACTGAAGTGGCTGGGAGAGATATTTAACCACTTTTGGGCCTCTTGGAAGGTAGGACAATAAGCCAACATCCTCTGGAGGGAGAGATGGAGAGCGAGAGCTAGGCGGCGCATGGACCTCCTTCAGGAATTCCCTTTCATTGAGCACACATACCCTATGTTTCTATCCTACCTGGGCCAAGGGCTGACAGTGGCATGGCCCCATCGCATCAATTACATGGACAGAGGACTGACCGCTACCACTGACACTGTACCATCTGGACCTTCTGTTTCTCCCTTTCTCCCTTTTGGGAATGAACTTCGACTCCTAAAACCCTTGAGTCTGTGGCTCACAGATGCTGGCCTGGGACTGAAAGGACTCCTTGCCTCGCACATCTGACATCGCTACCAATCAAGCCCACCGCAAGCATGTTTTCTGTTTTCCAAACTTGTGCATTGGCTGAGTGTCAGCTTACCAGCTAGGGAAATACTGCTACTCGTATTATAGATCTCAGTAATAGCCAATAATTATTATATCTATATCAAGTTCACATAGGGATGATATAACAGTTTTTTACTTATAGGTTTACCCATATGCGTATTCTATCTATGTATTCTGTTAGTACTTTTATTATGTTATGTGTATTACATTGTAGGGTGCAATAGAGTAACTTGATATCCAGTGGCCTTTACTATTGTCTGATCAGCCAATGTCTATTCACGTTTCACTTATTTCAACCATGATTATTCCTTATATATGTTTCATACTTCAACTATTATATTTCAAAAAATGTTCATGTTTCATCTCACTGCCCTCAAACTGCACTGTACTCGGGTTAGATTGTTAATTGCTTTTGGGTTATAACAAGCTTGTATATATTCTTATGTAAAAATAAAAATAAATATCAACAAATATATTAATTATTTTAAAAGTTTGTCCAAAAATATTAAATAATTTTAAAATCCAAAAATATAAAATTTAATGTTTTATTTGTTGAAATTCAGATTTTAGTGCATAATCCTAATAGTTTTTTGTAATCTTTCTATACCCCGCCTTACCCCCATGACTTACCTGAAGGAACAAGATGTCAGGGTTAATAACTGAAGCCGGTGGTTGTTTGGTATTTTTTTTTGTTTGTTTAGTTTTTTGTTTTTTTTTACCAACATTCATTATCGGTTTATTTACCATACTTCAAATTGTAGAGGGCTGTAATACAAATTGCTAAATGTATGCCTTACTCACTACAGTTCAGTGTTTATATTAATTTTAAAAAAGCCTTAAACAAATATGAAACCAATAATGTCACACTAATACTGCAGTGTTTGTCTCAATCTTATTAACGCTTTTACTGTAGGTATTTTATAATTATCTTAACACAGTACTATATGATTGTCCTTTGCACTGCAAATATAAATTCCTTAACTTATATATATTATATTATTATATGGTTCAAACTGTGTTTCTTCCTTACAATAGTGACATTGTTATATAATATTTATAGTGCAGTTTCATGAAGATTGAGCATCATGTCCAGTGGCAGAACTAATGTAGATGGCCCTGGTGAGTTTTCTTTTTTGTTCCCCCCTCCAGTGCAAGGGTGGCCAAATTGTAGATCTCCGTCTGTTGTCCAACAAAGCTTCGCCAGCTGGGGATCTACCATTTGCCCATGCAAGATAAAACAGGGGTAGGAACCCTATTTGGGGTCTTAGATAACCTTTATTAAAGAGGCATGAACTAAATCACAGATACTCAAAGAATTAACAAGATAATCCACTTCTAAACTCTACATGTTCATACGATACACTCCAGACTGGACTGGTCTTCAAACAGCCATGGGAAAATGGAAAAAACACTTCCTGATATAACTCCTACAAACATCCTGAGGGCACACCAAGCCCAATGCCAAATTCTGCCTCTCATCTCTTACAGAGACCTGTTTCTAAAGACCCTATACTACGCCTATTATTCACCCCACAGACTACATCTAATAGCTAGGAAAGACTCAGGAACCTGTTTCAAATGTGCACACACAAGAGCCAACTTATATCACTGTCTGTGGGAGTGCACACTAATACAATAATTTGGGGCTGAAGTGAAAACATACCTTATGAGGGACAAATTTACAATTAACATAGGACTCAGAAATAGAATAATATATGTGCTCCCAATCTTTATCATGCCAGATAGGTTAGATAATATTGAAATAGATACTTGGACAACCAGGGGGGTAACATAAAAACATACTAGTGGAACATAAAATCAAGTCTTTCAATCAAATTATGGAGGAATATAATATTCCCCCCAAAAGAAACCTTTAATTATCTACGAACTAAAGGCGTCATAGCTGTGTGTAGGTAGGTGTGTGTGTGTGGGGGCAGTGTGTGTATGGGGCTAGAGTTCACTCCTACTACTGCGACCACCAGGAAGTGGTGAGAGTGAACTCTAGCCCGTAGCTCCAGGGCTAGAGTTCACCCTCGTGAGAGCCGGAGCGTTGCCCCGGGTCCTCTCTTTCTCCCCCTCACTGCTCCTCTGTGTCAATGTCTCCCCTCTCCTTCCCAGTCTCTCTCTTCCCCCTCTGCCTCTTTCTTCCCCTCCCCCTGTGTGTCTCTCTCATTTCTCCCTCTTTGTCTCTCTCTTCCCCTTCTGTCTCTTTCACCCCCTTTCCCTGTGTTTCTC